TCTAAATCATGTATGTTTCTGACTGTGAGATCTCCATACTTGAATTCTTTCTGACTATTTGAGGCATGTTTTCTTTCATCCTAGGAGTTCTGGATTTAGATTATTAACGTTTTTGGGAATTCTTGTTTGGGGGTTTCCTTCAGGAAGTTACCAACAGAACCCTTCTATTTCTCCTTTGCCCTGTGGTTGTTTAAAAAAAATCTGGAGAGTATTCTTCTAAGATTTCTTGAAATACAATACTTAGGCTTCTTTTTGTTCATAAGGTTCAATGACATTTTTTCCTCCTTAATCTGTTTTCCAGATTTTTTTTCCCAATGAAATACCTTATATTTCTCCCCCCTCCCCCATTCTTTTGGCTTTGTTGGAATATTTTTTGTTCTCCAATGGAGTCACTGCCTTTTCTTTGGTACAATCTAATTTTTAGATTTTGTTGCTTGGACAAGGTTTTGTACTTCCTACGCCATGCTTTTAATCCCTTTTCTTATTCTTTCTTCTATAGCTGTCACCGCTTTTCCATTTTACTTTTGGTGCTCTCTGTTTTAAAATGTTTTTTTTAAATTCTTGTTTTACATTTTTCTGGGAATTCTATTTGAATTTGTGCCTAAGTTGTGCTTTTCTTGAAGGCTTTGCTTGAAGATGTTGTAGTGTTGTTCTCTTCTACTGAGTTTGTTTTGAGCAACCCTGCCACCACAATAGTTCCTTATAATGGTATTCTTTTGTTTGTTCATTCTTTAAGGGTACTTTCTGACTTCTGGCTTGATATTAGGGTTGGGTTCTGTGCTGTTCTGGAAGGAAGGTCTGTGTTGGTCCTATTCCTGCTTTTTTGAAGAACTGGGTGTTGTGATATTCCAAGATCTCAGGGGCAGCTCAGGCTGAAGATCTGCAAGTTTTCAATGTTCCCAAAGTGGTCTGGTATAGGGCACAATCTGATTATTTCCTGCAGGTCTAAGCTCTCCAAGTTTTGAGCAGGATTTGGTTTGAAAGTAAACTGATTTCTGGCTCAGCCATTATCAACCAGTTGGGAAATTCTTCTGGTTCAGTGATAGAAATAAAGGTTCTCCTTTGATTTGGGATTCCTGTTCTGGTTATCCACTGCAGGCTTCAATCTGAGCTACAAGTTGGGACTGGAATCCTGAGATAAATACTGTAAGTATGTAAATATTATCAATTGTTGTTCTCTGTCTCTCTATGCTGACCTGAGCTAGAACAGTGGCTTTTTCTTGGATTTTGCCATCAGGATTTGGTCTGGTACCTGTTCTAGATGTTTGGAGTTGGGTTTGGTTTTTTGGGTGGGGAGGAAGGGGGAGAAGCTTGCTTTACTTCTTGCTATTTTTTCATCTTGACTTCACTTCCTTCTCTTTTGCTTTATAATTTTCATCTATTGCTCCAAGTTCAGATCAAGGTGGATATATCTAATTCCTCTTTAGCCAGATAGCTCTTCAAATATTTGATTATTATCATGTAATAAAAAAAGAAAAGTTAACATCCACTGTCTTCACCAACAAGGTTGAACTTAGGACAGATTTCTTGTTGCCAATGACTTTCTTTAAATTGACACCCAGAACTGAACAAAATTTTCTATATGTGGTCTGACAAGGCCAAAATACTATGGAAATAGTATGTTCCTCATGCTGGGTGCTGTACTTCTTACAATGTTCATTCTTTATTCTCCTTTACCTCTTGAAGACTAACACTATTAATTGCCCCTTCCTAGCAATACAGTTTCTTTGCTCTTTCCTTTCTTTCTGTGACATTGCCTTTTTGGTACATTTACTGATATCCTCTGTTAGTTCATATACTTCCATCTACCCAAATGTGGCAAAATGCTTCATGTGAAGCATTAAGTTTTGTGTTTTGTTTTAAAGTTATCATGTTTAATAAAATAACTTTGGAAATAATGTACATATTCATTGCTATGAATGAAAAACCCTGAGATATAGAATTTCTGGTTAATTAACAACAATTTATTAATTAGACTAGCTAATAATCAATAAATGATGATCAGTTGTTTCTCTCTAACCAAAGACCCTTAATGGAGATTCTGAAAGCCCTAAATCCCTTCTGAAAGGGAATCCCTTAATAAGTGAAAATCAACTGCAAAAGTCTTCAGCTTCTCCTACTGAAAATGTGGTTTGAACATGAAACTCAGCTGCTTCCAGCTATCTGGTCAGGACCTTGCTGGCTGGTTTTCTCCTTCGTTAGCTGGGTCACTCTAAATTCTAATGGAGGGATACAAGAACAGGAGCTCTTTTCCCCAGGGTAAGAACTCATTCAGACTGGATTTTGTTTATACTCTAAATAGAAGTCTCCTAGTTGGGAGTGGGGGTGTGGGAAACAAGATCAAGAAACCAACCATCAAACAAAGAGGCCCATAGCTTCAGACAAGGCAAATCCCAGGATAACATAGGAGAGCAGCTGCTGCTTCAACAAAGAGCTTCTGGCACAACCAATAATGAGACTACCAAGAACAGTTTCAAAATCAGTCACTCCTACTGAGGCAGTGTCATAATTTGTTGATCACAATGGTCTGGAACTCCCAAGGTACTTGGGTGAGAAACCCTATTCTGAGCCCCATTAGATACTACATTACCCTCTCCAGCTTCTCTGGTCAAGACAACATTGGGCAGACTGGATCTAGCACGGATCAGGAAAGATGGATACAAAAGAAGAGCTCAGATGACAGAAGGTAAGAACTCATTATAGCTTTCTTGGGCAGCTGCAGTAGAAGTCAAATGGAGTGGGGGAGAAGCATTAGTTTTGATCTACTTGGACTCAAATGGAAGAAGTAGGATTAGAAAGCAGAAGTTGAAATTAGTTTTTATGAAAGAAAATAAAAATTAGAATTTCTAAAAGATGAGTTGCTTTGTGAGAATTTCTCATTGAGAATTTGCAAGTGGTGAGCAAATGAATAATTGTCAAATATCACTGAAGCAAACTAGTATTTAGTCAGGGCTTGTTTGTGATGACCTGTGAAATCCCATTCAATTCTGGTTTCCAGTTACTGAGTAAAACGTAGCTAATAATAAACTTTAATTTGTAAAAGAGTTCTGAAATAGTATGGGAATTGGTATTGTTATTTTCCTGAAGAACAAATTAAGGATAAAAAAGTTTCAATGACTTTATTATAGGATAAAATGTACCCATTAACTAACCCAAAAGAGTAGTACCCATGCTGGCAACATTTAACATATGACACACAGATTAGTTTGGGTAATCAAAAACTTAAGCAATAAAAACACTGTATTTTAATCACTTTTTATTTAAACATGTTTAAAGATTAATAACTACAAGCCCTAAACAACATTTTGAAAAATAAAATACATTGCTGTATTTGAGTTTTTAACTTCCAGTCTCCACACAGATGTGTGGAATGACTGAAAGTTTCTCATATGAAATGGAAGCTATGCCCCAAATTTAGTTAAGGCTTTAGTATTAGCCGGGGCTAAGTTTTGTTTTCCTGTAAATCATGTGATCATGTCATACACCTGTTGTACACCCCCTCACTTGTTTGGTAACCATCACCCCAGCCTTATCTTTGCCAAATAAGGCAATCTTCTAGCTTCCAAGCTTGTTTTGGGTAAAGTGTATCTCTTAGTTTCTGGGTAGAATGTAAGGTCTCTTACCTCAACCAATCGGGATAAAGAGATTCAGGTTAAAAGGTGGGAGGGTGGGGTTTTCTTAGAACTGTTTTGTCGAGGGGTGTATAACTGCTTGCTTGCTGCTTGTATTCTGCCTCCCCACTCCAATCCGCCCTCGTTGGTGATGCCCAATTCTCGCGCGAGACTTGCAAGAATAAAACTTCTGTTTCTACGAGAGAAACCTCTGAATTTTATTTTGGGTAGGTGGTCTCTATCCCACACACAGACATGCAATTCTAGTTCTTATGTATATTTGAAAAAAACTGAGAAGTGAAATAATTCCTAAAGCACTTAAAGTTTTGTAGGGAATTTAAAAAAATATCTAACAGAAATGAAGCTTAATTTTTCAAAGGTATATGAGTTTTTGCATGACAGACTAAAGTTTTACTACATAATTGAATTAAAACACATAAAAGAAAAACTATGATTAATGGCTTTAAAATAAACAAATCATTTAAAGTGTGTTTAACAAGCAATCAGTCTTTTAAGGCCCCTATAACCAGATAACATATAAAACAAATATAAGTGGCATCTCAAACAAATATAATAGGTTTTCCTGCAAGTTTTCAGTAAAGTTGGAAGTTTTATTCAATTCATATATTCTCTAACACTTTGGGAGGGGAAGACAGATTATCTAAAGTTTTCAATTCTTGCTTCATTCTTTCACATTTCCAATTAATTTAACATTTCTTATGTGTTAAACCTCAACCTCAAAAAAAGCTTAAAATTTGAAAACTCATTTCAACAAATAGGATCATTTAATTGTCTTGTATTTTTTTCTGTTGAACTTTTTTATATGCTAATAATCTTCACTTCATTAACCAATAAAAAAACAACAAAAATTATCACAAGAAAAATTGAGAGGTATTTATGAAAGATATTCAAAAGAAGAAATTTTAATACTAACATTTTAAATTAAATACTTTGGAGGGGAGAAATAGAAGATAAAAAACTGTAATGAGGAAACAAACCTTGCTTTGAATACTTTAAATACTTTTTAACTACTTCAAATACTTTAAAACTTTCAATTTGTGGTCAAATCCTGCACCACAGGATCATGCAAAAAATAAGGAATCAATTAACTGAGAGTAAACTTTTAAAATTTAACTTAAAGGTGGCTGTGGAAGAAAATTGCAAACCACTTCAAGATGATTAATCATTCCTAAATTTCTCATCTATGTATGCAACTTAGTCAAACATCAGTTATGATTTGAGGTAAATCAACATGAAATTACTTCTTCCTTTTTAATTTCAAGAACTATTAGAAAACAAAATTATCTGTTATTATCAGCTTACATTAGATATGATAAACATAAATACAGAAACTTTTTTTTTATTAATTAGATTGTTTTCAGGGTGGTTTCATAGTGAAAATAAACAGTTGACAAAATTTAGAGGAAATAGTATAGATGCTGTGTTATTATTCTTGAATAAGTTTTCAATGAAAAGTATTTGAAATCTCTTCTCAATTTAGCATATACAACAAAAATGTAGCCAATATTAATCTCAAATTTCCAAATAAAGTGAATTACAAAAAATCTAAATAGAATATAGAGCATGACATTTATAGGGAACAAAGAATTAAGACATATGATTTCCATTAAGCTAGTGTCAATTTTATAACACATTCAACATTTTAAAGGAAAATTGCATTGATTTCCTCTGAGAGGCTTTTGGATTCTTGCTTCTTTTTAGTTGGGGTTCCATACCATGAACAACTGGCTGATACATTCCTTTCACATCAATATGCTTGTAAGCAGAAGAATTTATGACTAGATTTGGAGGTGCTGGTAGCTGAAGGCGATGAGTTGAAGCTTCTTCTTGATTTAATATTTCTTAACTATATCATTGTAGTAGCTTTCTATCCATTTGTATCCGCTGGGCACAGCTTATAAACTGTGAAAGAAAAATTCAAGTTATTGACCCTATAGAATGGAAAGAATTTTGGATCTGGATTTAGAGAAGCTAAATTTTGAATCCTTGCTTTCTCATTTACTACTTCCCAGTTATATCCTCCCTATAAGTACAGTTCCTTCCAACTATAAATCTTATTTTTGTTTGAAAGTGAAATAAATGAAATAAGTTTATTACAGTATCGCATTTAAAATGACTCATCTCACGAACTGGCATTACAAATAAAGAATTTAAGATCCAGAAAGTAACATAATTTTCTTAAAATTTTAGATGATACATACAAAGCATAATATTTATATATAACAGTATGTTAGCAGAATAGACATAATCCAATAGTAATATAACATACAATATTATACATCATGTGCATATAGGTATGTATAACCCTAAATTTATACATAGAAATCAATCTATCATCTATCTAGCTATATCCAGCTAGCCAATCTATCTACATATATTTTTCAAAACAAATTGTTTCAGCTTAAGGATCAAGAGTCAGAAATTGAGTTGTCAGTAGTTAAGCATCTTCAAGAATATTTTCCAAAATAATCTTTTGTTTCCCTGCTTTAAAAAAAAAGTCATGACTATGCAACTATTGTCCTCATTTATTTTGAAATTTCTAAATGAGGAGCTTGGTGAAGTCTATAGAAATGTAAAAATAAATTTACCATTTGCTGTCTTATTGATACATCATTGTGGATGGCTTCTCTGTTTAGCATCTCGTTCCTGGCTGGCTTGCTTACTTAATGCCAAGGAATAAACTTGAGCTTCTGTCATTTGTGTATTTTCTTTCCACTAAAGCAAAATACAACAAAACACCAACTCTTAAATTGAATTTATTTGTTACAAACCAATGTGCCACACTTAGGAATACAAAGTAAACCCTGTAAACTCTTGAGGATCCTTATTCCTACTCCTGCTTTAAGAAGACTTTAGATATCAGTAAACAATCATTTATTAAGTAATTACTAAGTGTCAGGCACATGACTGCAATTACAAGTAGACAGACAGTCTGTACCCTAAAGGAGTTCACATTCTCATGTAAGAAATAAACATATTAAAAGAAGCTGAAAAGAAAGCAGAGGAGGTAGGGAGGACAAAAATGAGGTAAAAGATGGAAGAGGCCTGAGTGCAGTTGGAGAAAAATGAAAAGTGACTGGACCAAGGGAAGCAGGGGCTAAGAATACTTCTGAAGTGTGAATTCTAGGGCTGAAGTGCTCTTCGGATGAAGAGTTTTCTGGAGCTGGAGTAAGAAATGAAGAGATATTTGGACTGGGATCCATCCTTAAAAGGAGATTCAAGAGAAGTCATCCAATCAGAAAGGTACATCTCTTCCTTAAGGTTTTAAGGCTGTTTTAGAGGAGTTAAGTAATTTTCTAATGCCAGGAGTTTGTCCCAATTAGTGTGCTTTTCTACAAAATTATCATTTGAGAATCATTTTAGTTGGCCAATCTTAAGCAACTTTTAGAAAATGGTATTTAGGGGACACCTAGGTGGTGCAATGGATAGAGCTCCAGCCCTGGAGTCAGGAGGACCTGAGTTCAAATCCAGCCCCAGACACTTGAGAATTACTAGCTGTGTGACCCTGGGCAAGTCTCTTAACCCCATTGCCTCACTCTCTGTCTCTCTATCACACACACACACACACACAGAAACCAATAAGAAACTATAGTCAGAGGCTTCTTTCACACAAGAACTAAAGAGGAGTTCAGCCTGAGGGCAAGAAGAAAGAGACTACAAGGAGAAAATGGACTAGGGAGAATATGATATTTCTCATAACTGGAATGAGTACATAAACATGAAGTAAAAGGTCTGAAGTGCAAGCATTAGTTAAAATACCATCTCAAGTGGACAGTTTGGTATGTAAATAAACTCCAAAGAGAAACAAACAAGAATGGGTAATGGAGAGTGTTAAGAGGAAGGTTAATACAAAGAACAAAACGAAACAAAACAAAACATACTAAAACTTCCTAAGCCTAAATCAAGGGATCAAAAAAAGGAGAAAAAGAAAATAACTAGTGTCTATCCCAAAGTCTCTGCCTCCTAACACAATTGAGAAATGGCTGAATAAATAGTGGCATATAAATGCATATAAATATAAATGTAAGTGGTATATAAATGCAAAAGACATCATTTCAGAGAATCCTGAGTAGTATGAAATGAAGTGAGGAGAATAATGCATCTAATAACAACATCATAAAGTATAACTAAAGCAACATTGAAATAGTTAAGAATTCTAGAGTCTTTCTGAGAGAGAAACCTAAAATGTCATAAGAAATGAAATGAAGACATTTTAAAATGATGTGTAGATTTCATAAAGGTGAAAATAAAATTACAGACAATGTAAAAAAGCAGAGCAATAAGCACAGAAAAAGGCTTAAATGATAAGTCTATGAGACAAATCAAGATGTAGAAATACAATTTAGAAAAAAAGATTTTTAAGCTTGGGATTTCAATAAGTCATTCCAAAAAGCCTTCCATAATTTTATTGAGTGGTAATTTACTAAAAAAGAAAAGAAAGTGAAAGAAATTGTATAGGAAAAATAAAAGTAATGAGAAAAAGCAAGACAGTCATTTAATTTCTGCACTGACCATTTCCAATCACACTCTGAGTCATTCACTTTGCATCAGGAGATGGATATTCAATGCAAAAGGGGACTTCCAAACCCTCCTGATGAAAAGACCAGATTAACAGAAAATTTGACCTTCAAATACAAGACTCAAGAGAGGCATAAACTTTCCCCCTTTTCCCTTCTTTGTTAGTGCTCTCTCCCTTTTCAATTAAACATATATTTCATTACTTATATGTAGATATGCCCATACACACAAACACATACACTGCAGACTATAAGACCTTTGAAGGCAGTTTTGTCAGTTTTTTAATACATAATGTCTAGCATAGTGACTTACACATAATAGGTACTTAATAAATGTTTATTGAATTGAAAAAAAGAGATGCATAAAAAGATAAACATGAAAGAAAATATAACATGTTACTAATAAGAACAGATTGTTTACATCCCTACAAGGGAAGATGACACTTGTAACTCTTGAAAACTTATTATGCCGTTTAAAAGGGATATACATAGACAGAGAACATAGGTAGAAGTTGACTTTGATGTGATGGTAAAATTCTAATTCAGTGGTGGAAAGGGATTGTACTAGGAGAAGAGGAAAGGAAGAGGCAGGAAGTATATTATATTACATGACGAGGCACAGAAACCTTTTCCAGTAGAGGAAAAGAAGGGAGGGAGATGAGCATTGTTTGAACCTTACTCTCATCAGATTAGGCTCAAAGAGGAAACAACATAATCAGTTAAGTACAGAACTCTAACTTGCCCTATAGGAAGTAGGAGGAGAATGGGGAAAGAAAAGGGATGGAAGAAGTAGTAAGGTTAAAAGGGAAGACAAAGGAGGGACTGATAGACAGGAGGACAGATTGAGGGAGTGGTAGCCAAAAGCAGAATTCTCGTGAGGAGAGAAAGGAAGAAAGAAGAGAGAAAAGCATAAATGGGAGGTGATAATAGAATGGAGAGAAAGACACATATAGTCATAACTGTGAATATGAATGGGATGAACTCTCCCGTAAAACAGAAGCGGATAGCAGAATGGATTAAAAACCATAATCCTACAATATGGTGTTTACAAAAACATATTTGAAGCAGAAGGATGCACACAGGGTAAAGGTAAAGGGCTGGAGCAGAATATATTATGCTTCAGCTGAAGTAAAAAAAAAAAAGCAGGTGTAGCAATCCTGATCTCAGACAAAGCAAAAGCAAAACTAGATGCTAATTCAAAGACATAAGGAAGGAAATTACATCCTGCTAAAAGCCACCATAGACAATGAAGTAATATCATTAGTAAACGTATATGCACCAAGTGGTATAGCATCCAAATTCTTAGAGGAGAAGTTCAGGGAGATATAGACAGCAAAATTATACTAGTGGAGACCTCAACCTTCCCCTCTCTGAACTAGATAAATCTAACCACAAAATAAACAAGAAAGAAGTTAAGGAGGTGAATAGAACATTAGAAAAGTTAGGTATGATAGACCTCTGGAGAAAATTGAATGGAGATAGAAAGGAACATACATTTTTCTTGGCAGTACATGGCACATACATAAAAATTCACCATGTATTAGGGCATAAAAACCTCACAATCCAATGCAGAAAGACAGAAATATTGAATGCATCCTTTTCAGATCATGATGCAATAAAAATTACATGTAATAATGGGCCATGGAAAGACAGACTAAAAATTAATTGGAAACTAAATAATCTAATCCTAAAGAATGAATGGGTCAAACAACAAATCAAAGAAACAATCAATAACTTCACCCAAGAGAATGACAATAATGAGACAACATACCAAAACTTTAGGGATGCAGTGAAAGCAGTTCTTAAGGGAAGTTTTATATCTCTAAATGCTTACATGAATAAAATAGGAAAAGAGGAGATCAGTGAATTGGTCATGCAGCTAAAAAAGCTAGAAAAAGAACAAATTGAAAATCCCAAATTAAATACCAAATCAGAAATTCTGAAAACCAAAGGAGAGATTAATAAAACTGAAATTAAGCCAACTATTGAACTAGTAAATGAAACTAAGAGCTAGAAAAAGCAATAAAATAGACAAACCTTCAGACTCTTTAGCACAGTGGATAAAGTTTGCTCACTTTTGGATACTTGATTCAGAACCCAGCAAACTGCCTTTGGTCCATTTACCCTTAGGCCCTTTCTCTGCCTAGCCCTGTTTTGTTCCTTTCCTTGTACAGCTCTTTTGAATTCTGAACATTATTACTAAGTCAATATTAACAAATGATCCTAATCACTGTGCATTTATTTTGTATATATTTTCTTCTTACTTATTTGGGAACATATCAGCTCTTTGAAAGCAGGGACTTTTTTTTTAATTTGCATTCTAGAAAAATGCTTAAGATTCATGTCCATTGTTTGACTGACTACAAGACAGACAGACAGACAGAGACAGTGACTGTCTTTAAACTTCAGTGATTTGGATTCAGATTTATATTTACATCTCTTTCTTTTTTTCAAAACTTACTTCCAGCTGTTGATGGCTCATGGATGAGAGGGCTTCATATCCAAAGGAATAAATGGAGGCTCAGAGCTGAAAGTGACAGTAGGCAAAGTGAAATGCAGAGTCAGGCCCTACGAAACAAAAAAGGAGACAAAAATACTTTCAAATATTAAGGCTTGGAACAAGCAATTTGATACCACTTATTATGTTGAAGAATTGTTGATGTCTATAGCTAGAAAATTATTGTCACACAAACAAAACTACCTGCATTTTCATATATGTAAAGTGATAAATGTGACAACTACAGTGTACTAAGCACAAGGCAAATCTGAATAAACAAAGGAAGAAGAAAAGAACATATATATGCAAAACTATAGTCACATTTTGATATCTCCATGGGTTTCCTCATTAGCTTGGTAGGACCACTTGAAAGGTCAAGATAAGTCTGTCAAGGTCTGCTTGTCAGCTCATTTGTCAACCAATGACATTCTGTATTTTGTTTAGAAAGACCCATCCTCAACCAGAGGATCAAGGTCAAGATCTATCAACCAATAAGACTATTGTACTGTGTCTCTTCTATATAAGCTGGGTATTAAGCACTGTAAAACTAAGACCATGGAGGAAGGGAGCATCTTAGATCATGAGGAAGATTCTGAGGTCCACTTCATTAGAGGGGGCCATAGACCCTAAGTAAAGTGCTATTGGCTTGGAACTCTGCCACAGTTTCTTTTATTGTAGATTGGACAATTTTGGACCCCACGATGTTTGGTTAAGAAAGGGGAGAAGATTTAAGGCAATAGCTTGAGAGGATAGTAGGAGGTGTTTTAAGTATGGGCAAGACCAGAATACATTTGAAGGTGGGAAGGAAAGAACCTGTTGGTAGAGGGAAGCTGAAAATTGGAGTGGGGAGAAGTGAAGAAAGCTGTAATCTGCTGGAAAATATGGGAGAGCATAGCACAGATGCATATGTAAAGGAATTGACATTAACAACAAGTAAAGCTGTATCCTTAGAGCTAGGGAAAGACCATAGAGACTGCGGCTCACAAGATTGTGGAACTCCTAGATAAGGCAAATTCCCAGGAAAACACCTTCTCTGTAATTTATAGATCTTTAAGATGGTTGTAAAGAGTATAGAGAGATTAAATGATTTGTCTAGGGTTAATAGTTGTAATATGACAGAAGTATTATTTGAACCCAAGTCTTCTTGGCTTCAAGGTCAGCTTTCCAGGATACTTCCCATTCTGAGGTCTGAGTATTAAAATAGGTAAATTCTACTATACATGTTTTTAACAATGCTATATAGTTTTGAATACACCATAAAGGAATTAAGTGACTCAACATTATTTTCTGCTTCATATTCTGCCCATGCTGCTTTTCTTTCCTCCTCAGTCAGTTCTTCTTCTTCTTTATGGTCCAAAAGAGAATCATGTTCGTGATATCCTATGATGTATGCTTTATGTATTCGAAGCAATTCTGCAAGGATTGTGTCCTGTTTAAAAAAAAAAAAAGATAAATTAGCATTAAATCTAAGAACCAGAGCATGTTTTCTTGACAACATGCAGGTCAGCCTTAAATATCTCATTTTTTAATTTGGCTTTATTTTGAGACAGTCAGTGTAAGAAAAAGAGCAACAGAATCAGAAGAAGTAGATTCGTGCTATGGGCTTTATTATTCTGAGAGAATTATTTATTCTCTCATTCTTGATTCCTCATTTGTAAAATAGGGGCTTATTTACCTTCACCCTTCTCATCTGTAAAATGGGGACAGTAATGCCTATAATACCCAGTTTCAGTGTGCATTTCAACTAATAAGTCATTAGATGTTTATTAAATGTCTTGTAAGTGTAAAGCACTAAGGATTCAAATTTTAAAAAATACATGCTGTAAAACAGCTTGCATTTAGAAAAACAATTTCATTGATTCTTTTTAGTTTTCTACCAGAGATTTCCAAAAAAAAAAAAACCAGCAGCTTGCTAAAGGAGACCCAAAAGAATAGTGAAAAAAATAACTCCTTTAAAAATAGCCTAACCCACATGGCAAAAGTGGTCCAAAAAGCCAATGAGGAGAATGTCTTAGAAAGCAGAATTGGCCAAATGGAAAAGGAAGTCTGAAAGGTCACTGAAGAAAACACTTCCTTCAAAATTAGAGTGAAAAAAAAATTAGAGTGGAGCAACTGGAAGCTAATGACTTCATGAGAAATCAAGAAATAATAAAACAAAACCAAAAGAACAAAAAATTAGAAGAAAATGTGAACTATTTCATTGGAAAAATAAGTGACCTGGAAAATAGATTTAGGAGAGATAATTTAAAAAGTATGGGACTACCTGAAAGTCATAATAATAATAAAAAAAAAAAGTCCAGACATCATCTTTCAAGAAATTATCCCCAACTGCCTCACCAAAAATAAATAAATAAATAAATGTGTGTGTGTGTGTGTGTGTGTGTGTGTGTGTGTGTGTGTATAATCAAGGAAAACTGCCCTGAGATTCTAGAACCAGGGTAAAACAGAAATTAAAAGAATCCACCGATCACCTCCTGAAAGAGATCCCCAAAGGAAAACTACCAGGAATATTGTAGCCAAATTTCAGATTTCCCAAGTCAAGGAGAAAATATTGCAAGCAGCCAGAAAGAAACAATTCTGCAAACACAATCAAGATAATACAAGATTTAGCAGCTTCTACTTTAAGGAATGGGAAGGCTTGGAATATAATATTCTGAAGGTCAAAGGAGCTAGGCTTAAAAACCAAGAATCACCTACCCAGCAAAACCGAGTATAATCCTTCAGGGT